CCCCAAAACCCCAAAACCCCAAAACCCCAAAACCCCAAAACCCCAATATTTTTAAAACACTTGAAATATTATTTTTAAGGAAAATGCATCAGGCTTTAGTACTTGACAGTCAGATCAGAGACTTTGTGTTTATACCCTTGGTTATTATGGTCTTCTTCATAGGTGTTCTTAGGTATGCTGGGAGAGATCTGATGATGGGCAAAGGGAAAAAGGACCCAGACCCTATTAATATTAGTCAAGATATGTTGAAAAATGACGAGCTGATTGACCTAGCTGAGATCCAAAGTGAAATCGAAGGTCATGAATATATGAATAACGCTTTGACTAGAAGTGCTAGGTTCAGGACAAACTGTGACTTTCTCCCTCCTGATTCTGTTAAGCTTAGAAAAGCTTACTTTTGAAGAAATGAAACAGGGTATTTCAGAAAAGAGGTAGCTAATAACCCACTTCAAGCAATGATGAACCCTGAAATGATGACGGGAATGCTTAAAGGACAGTTCTTTATGACTATTTTCAATTTTGGATTAATCTCACTGACGAGCACATTCTTCAGTGGATTTGTAAATGCTAAAATGCCATTCCCATTGGCTCAGAGCTTTAGGTAAGTTTATTGTTAGGGAAATATTAATTCTTAATAGATCAATGCTCCAACAAGGATTGACTCTGTCCAACTTGGATGTCAGATACGTATCCTCATTCTCATGGTGTATTCTCTGTATTTATGGACTCCAAGGGCTCCAGAACCTTATTACAGGCACAGGATCAATGAAAGAAGAAATGGAGATGATGACTGGTGGAATGATGGGAGGACAACAGAAGGGCGGTATGCCAGGCCAACCAAAAGATTTTACAAAAATCTTCAAAGGAGAGATCGAAAATTATGAAATCCTTACAAGCAAGTTCTCTCTTGAGCATGCTGAAAAACAAGTTTTATTGCAACATAGACATACTAAAAAGATGAGGTTTTAATATTGAACACGTGGGTTTTCAATAAAAATTGTATACTGCGGGGTTTTGGGGTTTTGGGGTTTTGGGGTTTTGGGGTTTTGGGG